CTTCAACAGCCCTGGAAAGACGCATATGAGGGTTGGAATCATTTCAGGAAGTGTTGGGCTGGTCCAAGTCCACACAACCACCCAAACTGGAGTAGTCTGTTAGCCCCAGGTAGCCAGCAGCTAAGCGTACATTCCTCACCCTGTATGCTTCTGCGCATGCATTGCTGACTGGATTAGGAATTCCAGATTAGATCCCAGATCTTCGAGCGTGGGCGATATGCGTGGGAGATACTCAGTCAATGCCACGACTTTCCCTGCTCTGCCCAGTATGGGGAAACAATTGATTCACGACCACTTGCCTCCGCCCCTTGGGAGCCGCTTCGATATGAACCTCCGGACGACGACCTCGCTATGATCAACAGGAACCGTACATGTCCTCCGTGCCGATTGCGGGACCATCTTTCCAATGCCTTCTCAACTTCTGGCTTCGACCTCGCATCGCTACCTGCTTCATCAGAGGAACTTGAGACCTGGTGCCCCTGTAACTTTGCTCTGGCCTACAGAACGACGCTTCATTTCCTCGCCAATCTACCGTTCCCGTATATCCACCCGTTCTACTCATCCCATCACTCAACCCTTAACAAGCGCAGTGACATTCTGTCAGTGTTAATTCAGTCCTGGAACTGGCTAAACAAGATCAGGAAAGGAGGACGCATGCCAAGCCAACAAGAATTTGTAAAAGCTTATGCGGCGGGTTGGTGGAGTTACGAACTGAGCGAGACGCATTGCAGCGGGAAGGATTGTCCCTTTCTTGATATTCACGGAATATATCATGCGAGAGGTCTGCGTACTCGCGGTGGTGAACTCTGTGTTCCGTACTGGGGTTCTAGTGCGGAAGACCAGGAACGGATTTTGGAGAATTGGGCGCGAGGTTGGCGGTCTAACGACGGCTCTTGAACAGACTCCCGTCGAATGCCCAGTGTGGCTCGAGAGTGACGACCCAGATGAGTTCCTGGAAGACAGGGTACCCAGAATGTAGTCCGCTGTTGCGACCCCGTCCGCGAACAATTTGCGACTGGACAATTCGTGACAGCGCGATAACGCGACTCTCGTGCTCGAAACCCACGGCTTACAGAATGCATGCAAGAAGTTGAGGTATCTTATCATTGTTCAATGTGAAGCTCATGCTACTGTGTGTCTCATGATGTCGAGTAGATCTTTCGACACGTTTATGTTCTTCCTCTACCAGATACCCTCATGCCGGACCATGACTTGCGAGACTTCAGGTCACACACAACGACCCTCGAATCCCTTCTCGGCTGTCCGCTCAGCCCCTTATGCGAGGATCTCTCACGAGCTTCCAGGGTAACAAAACACTTGCCATTGTGCAAGCGAAGGTGTCGCAAGGCGCTAAGATAGAGCGGATTGCCACCCTGGGCCGCTTGACAATCTGACATCAAGTTTGCCGTTATATCCAGTCTTGCCGTGACTATGCCAGGCAGTCGTTTGAGTATCCCGACGAGTCTCAGAGAGAAGGGAGCAGCGCGAGCACAACGCGAGGTCGGCTGCCGTGCGCAGTTAGCGCGTTCACATTGGGGACTACTAATTCGAGCGGTAGGATGAGATTCATCGCATACACCCATATCACGAACAAGAAATCCTGAAGCGTAGTATCCTCGATACCACACACACTACAATCCCACGTACGCCCGACCTCGTACAACAACGGATCATGCAGAAGATTCCGCAGAACAAGATGATGCTTACGCCCGAAGACTCGGCAGAATTGCATACACCACGTCGGCGCACTATGCAACATTAGCCGCGGTAGTCTCGGAAGACTCGGGTCATTTCGTACATCGTATTCGGCGATACCGCGGGGGTAAGACGTCAGGATAAGCTTCCACATCGAGCTGCACACCGCTATTCATAGAAAGATCGCTGTGGAAATAGGGTATACTAACGAGGCAAGACGTAACGTGCTCGCGATCAGCTTACCAAGGCAGCTAGTCGCGCAATGTAGCGGTGGGTAAGCGTAGAGTGGTCGCCAACGTAAAGACCTCGAGTTATCCGCATCCTACCTACCTCTTCTGATCTGTCCATTTGCAACAACATCGGAACAGTTTTCATCTCCCTTCTAAATACATACCTCCTCCTCCCAGTCATCATGAGGTTCTCCGCTATCGCGTCTTTCTTTGCTATTGCCGTGGCCAGCGCCGCAGCCGATGTCACGCCTCGATACGATGTCGACAACTTCTCTGCATACTGTGTCGCTGACGGCGGACTGTGCTAGTACGTCTTCTTTCCTCGTCACTCATCGCCCATCTAACAAGCGCGCAGCTACGACTTCCAAGTCCGTCAGCATGCGAACGGCGAGACGATCCCCACTGAGTGCGACACGTCTGCCAAGGGTGATGGAGCCCTTCCGAGTGTCTCCGAAGGTACATGCAAGAGATCTTCGCGCACTTTTGCCGTGATCAGGGAAGATGATGGCAGCCTCAACTTCTCCGTGAGCCAGCAGATCACACCAATCTCCTTCACAGTCGGCAACCACACCATTTCCGCGGACCAGATCGAGAAGAAGGACGGGCAGGAGACGTACGTTGGGCCGAAGAGCTTCGGGCTGTACAGCTCTTAGGAAACTAGGGAGATGAGATTGAGGGATCTACGAATAGAAATGAGCAGACTTCTACATTGTGTTCTTTCCTCGAGCCGTGATGCCTTTCACACTGCCTTCATGAATGAATTGATGCAGAAATGATGTTGTTCATCAGGACACAGGATCTCCGACCTTGAAGAGACGGTCTTGGCCGCTCGCTCTTGCTGCATGCTCAGCTGCGAGAGTCAATAATCGCAACCCCGGGTAGATGTCAGCGACTGACCGCGAGGCGTCGCTTTCTATGCAGGTTTACTGACTGACGACGCGCGATATGCAAGTGGGTATCAGGTAGCGTTCGCAGCGTTCCTCGTGGGCACACTGCGACGTCTCGACTGGAGAGAACGATCGTCATCCAATCATTTGGGGGACTGGTATGTGCGACAAATCTCGCAGCACGGATGAGCTTGCTTGTTATCAGCGCTGGGGCAGGGCCAAGAGGAAGCCTGGATGCAGACGTGGGTTGTGTCGGTGTGAGAAGTCAGCGTATATCGTGACCACGAAGAGTTAGGATCATGCTCACTGCCAGTACCTCAAGCACGTAATATGGAAACCAAAAGCTGCTTCCAGATATAGCGACGCGTGTTTGTGGGTTCTGCTGATAAAAGCGTCTACGCAACCAACAACGTGTATGATGTGTGGGTAAAGAACTGGAAACGAGTACGAGTGAAGTATGCGCAATCTGGGACGGCAGCCTCGTCGCAAACCGAAGTCTATAATCGATCGTTGAGGACGTCAGCAAAAGGCAAAAAGCGGGGCGACAGATCAGCATGGTCGCGGAGAAGGAACATGAGTGTGCCTTCGAAGAGGGCGCTTTCGTAATGCAATAGCGTATAGAAACGTAGCGGTGACCGCATATCTGATGAAGACGAAAAGTCTTGCGAGCAGGCTAATAGACTGAATCTATACTGACACAACACCGGAGGTGACACTAGCGTTGAGAAGAGTATGTCTTCTGTGCTCGCCTCCGCCGGCTGCGTCAGATCGGCGTCTCCAACGAGTGATGTACAATTCCAAAGGTTCAGAGCCGCACGTGTGGCCGCTGGATGCACATCAGCGGGTAGCGTTAGAAGATCCGAAGACTGCAGCCGATACCAAGGTCCTATGTCAGAAGTTGGGAGGATGACCATGCCGACAACCATCACCATATGAACGAGACCTGACATTAAGCGCTCTGTTTCTTCACCACCCGAAGAACAAACGATTTGCGCCAATGCTGGTGCTTCTAACAATTTCATCCCTACCCTTGGCCTCACGCCAGTCCGCAGTAGTTACCCGAGCTATGGCGAGGTTTCGGAGCGCGACATCATTGCCGAGAGCTACACCTAGATGCGAAGACTTACCGGCCTGCGCAGACATGAGAAGGACATGATCTTGGTGGGTGCGACATTGTATCCGGGTTGTCGCACATGCCAGGATGGGTGAGACAAGTGTTATTCCGGCTTCGATCACAAGTCGGATACATGGGTAGATGAGGCATCTCGTTCTTCCACGATGTCGCTTTCCCAGAGCTTATATCCTCATCCCAGCTACACCGTAACAGCTGCTGGCGTGATCATGTGTAGTGATTGGCGGAAGACCTCGTACATTGACGCGGGCAGCTGACAAGATGTAGAGCAGACCTTCGGGCTCGATCGGCTTTCGTGTGCAGCGTGAGATGAGGCGGACTATGCGATGCGACACAAGTGGTCTGGCTTGGCCGCGCAAGCTGGACCGATCTGATGAGGTTCGTTGTGGTCTCTTGCTCCAGCCGATGCAGGTGGCTAACCAGATACGTCGCGCCTGCGACAGAGCCAACGTCGCGCTGCTCCTTCGGTCTGAACAGTTGTTTCAACATTCATTCTGCCTTCCGTTTCTGGTGGCATAAAATGGCGATACTGACGGATGTGCTCTGATCGCAAGAACATCCACGCTATCGCAATCATATCGTGTACTAAAGCCTAACGTTGATGACCAGCTCGAACTAGGACTAGACAGGGGTCTTTGTGGGAGACGCAGTCTGTTATTTCATCCCTGATAGCACGATTGTCAGAGTATGAAGGCGTCGACATCATTTCAAGAGTCTGCTAATGACTGCCATGATGGGGGATCAGTGAAGTCTTTGAGTATAGCGGTGCGCAAAGCTGGATTTACGATTCCAGCGTTCGTAAATCGGTCTCCGCAAGCCTAGCAAGTAGCTGGGTCAAAGAGTGAAGTCTTACTCCGAAGAAAGCTGACGAAGATGCTTTTGATTTGGAGAGCGCGGGGCTGCACAGGAGTCAAAAAGCCCCAGTCACCTGCGACTATGCGACCTTGCCAGGCAAGTGTTGTATGATGAGACAGGAAACAATGTCGGGGGCTGCATAGCACTGACATCACAAGCAACAGATGACGAATCATCATGTAGTGAACACCTTCATGATGCTTAGTCTTGACTCGTCGACATACGATTGCGGTGGCCTCTCACTTCTCTCAACTTCTTGAGTGAAGAAGAAGCTATGTTCACGAACTCTTCAAGCCCGTCGCAGAAGTCGTCGCGAACTTCACCGCTTTTAATGCCCACTTCTTCCACGGCAGTTTCGACAATCTCCTCAGTCTGCTCCTTGAACTTGCACAGCTTATCGTCAACCACTTCACCAAGCTCTCGTATGCAGTCTTCCTTGATTGTGTCGACATCGAGCTTGTGGTCGGCAACCACGTCCTCAAACTCTCCCTCAGCTTGAACACGGAGGCTGTACGCTTGGTCATTGGCATCGGCGAAGATCGAAGTCAAGTGATCCTTGGCCAGAACTTCCAGGCGGTCGGCTATGAGTGTGCCGAGGGAAGGCGAAGGTTGGGGCGTACAGCTGGCTCTAGGGGGAGGCGACGAAGACGGTGATCGTCTGGGAGCAAGGGATCTATGAAGGACATCCGGCAATATGCTCCTGAGAATGTTGGGCAACATGCTTTCGACCAGGGCTGGAAGCTGAGCTTCAACGGCCTTATTGACGACGTCTTGGAAGGCGAGCTCGGCACTGGCGTATGGAGATGGGTGTGCACTTATTATCTTCGCTTCCTCCTTCTCGGATGGCGAATGTTGGGATGTGCCGGATGGACAAGGTGAGGATGTCGCGACTTCTGTGGGCGACCCTTGATCGTAGTGCGGACGTTTATGAGGAGGCGATGCAGGCTGCGAGGGCGGTGTAACTATCTTGCGTATGAGTAATTGTCGAGGTGATTGTGGCACGAGGTAACCTACCTCGCCTGGGTCGCTTTTGCGATGCACCCGCGTCTACCGCGTTTGTGTACGAAGGTGGTGGTTGGTGGTCTTCTTCAACGGTACAGAAGATTGCCCAATCCGCGTATCTGCATCCATCGGTAGTCTCAGAGACCCCCGAATACGCTTGCATATCTTTGAACAGGCGTTCCAGAGGAGGACGATTGTTGGCGTGCACCCAATTGTAGTCAAAGGTGATGTCGATCGCTGTAGCTTTCGCGAGGGCAGCCAGGCTGTGGAAGGGGGCCTCATATCCGCTCTTCGATGTGTAGGTAGCGGTTGAAGAAGGGCACCTGATCTTGCATGGCTTCGCGAGCGTTAAAGCCAATGCTCTTATTTGGGGATTTCCGGCGCGTGCGATGGAGGTCAACTGGTCGTGGGAAAGGGACGTGGTAGCATCGCTCAGCGTAGTTGCGTCGCGCATCAGGTTGTCAGCATCATAGATCAAAGTAAACGTTTGCTCATCATCGAAGCCATTAATGAAAGTCGTGCATTGTAAATGGAAGCTAAGCTGCAATGGCTCCTCGTTGTACTTCACGACCAAGACACATGGTGACTGTGCAGCAGGGTCCGATCTCACGCTTGCCAACACGGGCACACCCTTTTTGGAGACAAGCCAGCGGACCATGGTGCAGAAGTATCACTCACAAGTGATATCCCCCCTTGCGATGAAGCAAGCGCAAGGGAAACCCACCCGCCCGGGCTTTTGACGCGTCGCGCGCGGAAAGCAGCCCTGACTCGTTGTGTCCGGCTCGGTGAATGGTGCTGGGTGGAACGGAAGCGCGGTGTCGGCTCGTGAACTGCTGTCCCCGTCGTGTCCGCACGACCTGTGACTGCTTGAGAACCGCCCCTTTGACGCGTGAGTCGCCGACGCGTGGGCTGTAGGCCGACAACGCCGGGCGCACGTCAAAGGTCCCGGGGGATGGCGGACTGAGGCAGGGCGACAGGTAGGCGAAGAGGACCGGGGGCCAGGAGCTGACGAGAGACGGTGGCTGCGGTTGACGGCGGCTAGCAGGTGAGGTCGAGATGGTTAGGGTCGATGGCGGTGATGGTGGTCGGCGTGGAGGTCGCGCTCTCGGTGGCGAGGGCTGCAGCTTCCGGGGTCGGATTTTCTATTTCCCCGTGTGAACGCTAGGCCTTTTCGACTAGCGTGACGACACCCCGCCGTTTCTCGATGCTTACGTCGTATGCCCTCCGCTCCAACGCAGGCCTCGCCATCCATAACAACGTCAAGGGCAATGATGCTTGTCACACGCTCAGCGCCCATTAACATCACTTGGTAACACGAAGCAATATGCATTGTACCAATACGATACACATCAACACATGCGCCGCTCGTAGTGCGCGGGAGGCAGCTCTGGTTCCAAGTGCAGTTTCCAGCACATTGGCGCATTTAACAGCACGCTCGCGCGAAGAAGAATAGGCTACTTTTCGCTCGAAGCACAGGTGACGCCTGGCGCGGTATGGTGGGAAAAGTCACAACATTCGGACGCGCAGGGAAGACAAATGAATGTTGTCTGAGACCCTTGTCAAATATGCGTTCCGGATCTACTGGACGAAGAGCCACAGAGCCAGCTCGAATCTGATGCTTGGAAGTGTTCTTGTTGCAACACGGCCATGAGTTATATATCCACCCACCAGCTCTGTGGTTGCGAAGCGTCGTCATGGGTGTGATCCGAATCTTCGGCTCGACATGATGATGCGACGAGAATGAGACTTGTGTCCTCCCAGCGCTTCCGGGACCAAGCATCGATCTGACTCCCAGGCAAACCCCTTCTCCACTGTATGTGCCATTGGTTCAAGTGCGAACGACAGTGGGAAGAGGACGCACGGCATCATGGGCGGTGGTGCAAGATGGCATGGCATTATCGCTCACACCTCGGCACCATTCTCAGGTCCCCTCAAGGTCGACAATGGTCATGTGCTCCTCAAACATTCTTCTTGAAGGGCGACCGGATACGCACATGTACCTGCTGCCTCGCGACACCACTTCCAACCTCGTCCGGAACATAGTGCGTCGTCTCCATCGCGTTCACGCTGGTTAATTCTTGTCGCGGTATCTGGACGGCGAAATCAATACCTTAACATACATATCACCGTTCCACAACAAGCGATTAGATGTGGTTCCTGAATGGTACGCTCTTCCAGGATCACGGCCTTCGCCTTCGAGCCTGCGCAGGGAGCATCGAGTTATCTCATTTCACCGATGTAAGGTTAGTTGAGAACATCATCATCGATGAACTGCGGTCTCGTGATGCTGCGGCGTTGGTGGGCTCCGACAATTTTAAAACCTCTTATTCGAGTTGAACACTACTTTTGCGTATGCGATGGGGATGGTTTCTTGATGCTCAAGTCCAACTGTCTGCGTTCTTTCAACGCGGTCGAGAGCCGTTTGAACCTGCTTCTACTCAAAGATGCCAGAGGTTCATCAAGATGTTAAAGATTAATCGCGCCTACATCAGCATAAAAGTATGAGTCGGTTAGACGCCTCGCACTTACAAACCTTCAGACCTGCGATCGTGATGCACCGACTGCAACAGCGCTATATCGGCTGGATGCAGCCTTTGACGGTGCTTTAAGGAGGCGATTGAATGCATGTTTTGACGCACTCAGCCTCAAACACTGTCATCTGTAGTGCCCAGCGTGACGCTGACTCTTTTGAGTCGAGCCCGGAGTGCGATCAGACCTGATTAAGTCCGCAGTTCAAATCGCCGGTAACTAGTCGCTTCAGAACACAAGAAGAGAGAAATTGTAGATATGCATGTTGAACATAGTGTGGTCCTGATGCGTGCTCTGATCGAAGGGTGAAGTTAGCTTCAAAATAGCTGGACCAGTGTAATGCAGATCGACGATGAATTGTTGTAGAGTGTGGAGACAAGAGCGAGGCAATAGATGCTATCATAGGAAACGCGATACCTCTTGGCTGGACAGGTGCGTTAAAGTTACTTCATCCACAGTTGAAGACCACGAAGATGTATTTGTAACACTAATGTGCGACGAAGAAGAAGGAGCAGGCAGAGAGAGGATCGTACAAAAATTGGCAAAGTGGTGGTATAAGAGTTCAGAGAAGCGTAACAGGGCCACATGCGCACGATGTCTCGTAAATCAGCGACGTGTTCAAGCGTCCCCACAACTATCGAGTGCGGCTAGAATCGGATCCAAACGGTCACAGGAATCTCTGCACGTTGTACTGTCGCCGATTCACCACCAGAGAAGACGAAAAGCACTGGTCTTTGCCTGTACCTTGCACTTCTTTTTGAGGTGAGCTTTCTTCGTCAGCTCGTCTATCATAACGCATGCTAAGATTTTCTCCTTCGTGGAACTGCGATTTGCTTCTACCTAATACGAAACATAGAATATGTAGCGGAAGAGCTGTGAGGTCCTGCATGTTGCGTCAACTTTTCGCACTCTTGCACCAGCAAAACAAACGACGAATCCTGAAGTCTCAGACCTGTCTTACACCGCCCGCACCGTTATCCGAACTGTCAGTGAGCTAGGCTTTTACACAAAGAGCTTCTCTAGACCAGAATGTCTTGCACTGTCGTGATGATCCAGGAGCACAGATTTTGTCGGAGAACCTGAGACGCTGAGGTACGAGAAGTGGCCCGCGCTTCGTCTCATGAGCAAAGGCCACGCCATGGAAGCTAACAAGGACGAGTGTAGTTGACACTCATGGACAGCATGGCTTCATACGGCAATACCTGCGGCAGGGTCGCCATGTCTGACGGAGATGCGATTGCTGAGCAGCGATGCATACAAGGAACAGCGACAGCATCGTTTTCGGGTGAGTTAAAGACTGCACAGGTACTAATGGTCTATTATCTTTGGGTGTATTCTTTGTTGTCCCGACACATCTGCATATCTGCTGGCTGTTTCTACCTCCCGGATTTTGTCGCTTGATGTCTCATGGCCGTGAATCACTCAGCCAGACCAGACATTCGCTTTGGTGTCTCTAGCGTCGCCTTCACTGCTCCCTTTTCTTGGTGTCTTCCATGCTGAGACCCCGTGACGACGAGACGCCTGCCTGACCAGTACAGGGATGCTGATGTTGAATTAGTCCCTTCGGGGCGTGGTGGTGTAGCACGAGCATAATGTATGGATCTTCGCGTGGGCAGATTTATTGCTTCGCGCGAAAAAGGAAGGCTTTTCTAGCGTCACTAGTAAGTCTGCCGGCTTGATAGTCAATGTAGGCTATCACAGTTTGAACAGTGTGACTTTTATTGATGCCTACAGCCGTCACGCAAGCCAGCCCTAATTGTTTCTAACAGTCTCATCATCCAGCAACGATTATGCTGAGCTGGACAGTGACAGCTTGTGCAAGTGATGTCTTCACCATCACTCACACTATCAGCAATACTGCATCTTTGACCGCGAAGCGCTGCCGCGCTACCACTACATGATATGCTGCGAACACGCGAAACTTTCCACATTCACGTTTTCACCGACCCAAGTTAACCGCTTGCAGCGTTCAAGATATGCATATTCTGAACCTTTCCGTAGTCACTCCAGAGCCGGAGGAGGTATCAAGACTCCCTTCCACCCCAATGCGGCGGCTCATGGTCCCCTTTGTCCACTCGCGGCGCATCAAGGTGCAGGTCCTTGATAGCCAGCATCAAACATCTTGCGACCATGATAGGCGCGCGTCATCATGAAAGCACCTCTTCCCGCACCCTGAAAACTCCAGGTGGGGAAAACCTCTTCACTCTACCTGTTCAATTGCACTTCTCGGTTACCATGTGATCCAAGGTGGAAGTAATCGAGTGCAAAAGGTTCTATAGCGATGTTGTGTAAGCACGAGCTCTTCTACGCAGCTGGAAACAAGGCTGATCGCCTCCAGAATCAGGACACGATTACACCCAGGTATCTTCTATGGAAGGCCTTGACTTGTTTTAAAGCTGTAAACATTGGCGTTTTGTGTGAGCGGTGCGCGCACAGTTGGCCTGCTGCACAAAGCGGATGTTACGTGATATTATGGAAGAAGAACGAGCCTTCAAAAATTGGAGCTGGGAAAAGGTTCAGATACCATGATGCAAAGAAGTCTCGAAAACATCGATACCATCTGCACAGCTAGAAAAGAAGAAAGCTGATGTGTCAAGACATTATGCGGACGTGCCGTCTCTGGCCTTGAGATCAAGATGTCATATGTGGTGGGTCTCCCGTCGAAGCCAATTTCATTTCCAGACCCCCAATTGACCATACAGGGTCTTTACAGACCGGCCGTTCGCGAATCTTGCGCAGCAAGATCTAAGCAACGCAAAAATAATGTTGTTGGGGCGACTGCTATCTATCAGCATTTGCATCGCGGAATTTGAAGACACTCACTAGAATACACCCATGCACACGTCGCCAATGGTCCCGACGTAGAAGCCAAATGCCGTTGGCTGCCCATGCTACGTCAATCAAACTCGTTCCAATGACGTTCCTCTTGTCCATTCGCCGCACTCCCTCGGTGCATATCCTTAGCAATGAGAGGTATGTCGATGGCGTCGTCTGGTTATGCCGTCGGCCATTCCGCTACCAGCCTTCCTTTCATGGCTTCTCACCATCATCCCGATGAAGGTCTGGTGCCCAGCCCATGGCCCGAACATTCCCATACGTCTCACCGGCCGGGCTACGATGCAGCAAAATCTGCGTTTCGAATGCTTGGTCGTCCGTCGTCGGCCTCGACCTCGGCGGTTCGCGCCAAGAGGAGGGACATGCCAGACCTAGGGCAGTAGTGCACTTGCAGAGAAAGTAATGTGAAAGCTGTATAGTGATATCGCCCGTGAATAAGAGTACCGTGTTTCTCAAGTGAGTCAACTGCTCCAAGTTTCTCTGTACCATGAAGGCGTCGTGCTTTTGCTGATCAGCTGTGTTCATCTTTGAGGATTGCAAATCACTTGCCTGCGCCATAAGGCTGGCTTGCATTTCATGACCGTACGGTGCGACATCCTGCGCTCCACTAGCCATCAGGACGAGCCGGAGGTTGTCGTTTTGGCTCAGCAGACGCATGCGTCGGAAAAGCACTTGACAGTGGACTTCGGGCCCGTTGACAGAGAAGACTACAGTGGGCCGGCCTTTCTTCGCATTCACTTTGGCGATAGCATCAACTGCAGCCTTGGCCAGATGAATGGCGCGATCGGTACTTGTTTCCAGAACCAGCAAGGGCTGGGGCGGAAAAGGTGTGGACAAGACCCGGTTTACCACGTTGTTCACCTCGAGCATTTTTGCTTGGTCCTCGATTGTGTCCTCGGCCCATTGCGCATTAGGGAGAGTATCTTCGGTGAAAAAGATAGAAGTGTCAGTGCCCATGCTGACGATAGCCCTGTTGTTACGTCTAATGGCTCGGTTGTTCACCACGCGTCGTTGAGTTGAGTTGGGTAGACGTCTTTTGTAGTAGCTTGTTTGGATCAAGGCATTGCAGTCAAATGTCGCTTGTCTACGCGCTGTAGCGGTGTGGCCTCTCATCATACCAATACATCAGGCTAATTACCGAACGCTATGCTGAGAGTCAGAGGGGTCAGAAAGCGGATACAGGATGATACAGCTCGTATCGGATTTTGGTTTCTCCGCGTGCGTGTGCGGGGCGTGAGATCGTAAGTCTCGGAGATGCTTGGCATCCAGTCGTTCCAAGGTTGTCGGGTAGCCGTGACACTGATCCAGGGACGATCGAATGCTTTCTTTGCTATTGCTGAATTTGTCCTAGTGCAGTGGTGATGTAAACGCGAGTACCAACAGGCTATAACGGCGGTGAAAAGGTCCGCCAGACAACGAGTGAATAGACGTGTTGCCTCCACGCGGGCCAGCGTTCGATAAGAAGGTTCCGTGGTCCAGCCACGATGCTGGTAATACGTCGCCACCGAGCTTCAAAAAAGAGTGACTAGGTGTCTGATCACGCTAATCTCTTTGGGGGCAGGCGACACTGACCTTGCAAAAGATGGCTATGAAGATCCAAGTAGCCGGGTGTCCTCCGACACAGTTGTGCATTGTGCGCTTGTACTCACTACATCCATCGCCTACCGGTGTTCCCGCCTTTCAAGGGAGCCCGATCAACCGCGAGACTATTATAGAGGGAAGACTTGTGTTGAAGAGTGTAACATTGGCCTTGAAAGTAAAGCAAAGCCACACGACATGATGCCGAAAACTACGCGTCGTACGAATGACGAGCTAGGCTATACCTCAGATCGCATTAGTATGCCCTGCCGCTCAAGGTATTTCTCGATGAGTAGACGAGTTCACCGCGCACTACCCCCACAATCTAGCGATGTCATTGGAGAGTTGATGCCGCGATGAAAACACAGACTAAAGTACCACTTGGCCTACTGGCAATACTGTCAGGCGAGATGCAGACAAACGTCTTTTTTACGCGAGCGCGAGGTAGAGTAGGATAATCACGTAGTTACATCCTATGAATCGGAAGGCTCGCATTCTACCTATCCCAGATACTTCGTCCTACTTGACGCTGGTTTCAAACTGTTTTCCGTTAGCCTGATCTCGTCCTGAATTACTGTCACGGCAAAATTCTCTGCCTTTGGCCAGTGACAATAGGCCGGAAGAACGCCTGTAATAGATCGTGGAATGCATCCCTTCCTCCTGCATTCTACGCAACGCAGATCTTGTTTTTGAAAAGCTCGATCTCCGCTATCATATGTTATCGACTACGCAAAGCTGTCAAAAGATAAGGAATGCTCACCTTTTCGCAAGACGTCAGCTTTTCCAAGCCGCCTCTCGACGCTAATACCCCGATATCCGTACGCACACTGTCCATCCACGTTCTTGTTGTCTTCTAATCGCAGCTCCAATAAGAGCGGCAGTCTCAAACAGCTGCGCGATCATCAATAACGGTGCAGCGACTACGGAGATATGGGGACAAGCAAGCATCGTGGCGGCTTGGAAGGAGGAGTGTAGCGCCCGCAACACCAAGCAGTCTCTCGAAGCTCCTCTGGGTCATTGCTTCATTCGAATCTCGAGTAAGGTGGTGGTACATGGCGCTTGAGAATGGAGCCACGTCTTCCAGGTCTGTCGCAATGACGATGACACAAATATTGTCGTTGCAACTCAGTAGCTTCACCCTCTTATGCAATTCGCAACTGTGAATCTGAGAGCCCGGTACGGATAAGCACACGGTTTGCGTACCCTCCCTCATATTCTGCATCGCCATCGCGTCAGCGATTTGCCTCAGAACCCTCAGAGCGTTGTGTTCCGTCGAGTCCCGAAACAGCATGGTCTTGATTGGAGTCTTGACTGCCTGCAATTGTGCCCGAAACTTTTCCAGACCGTGTTCTTGAATGTCGGAAGCCGAGTCCCCGTCCACGGCGCGATCGGGAGAGCTGTCTCTTGGAAGTAGATTGATCCTTGTGCTTCCAAACGCGACATGCGTGGGATCTGCTGTTTGAGTGGCGCGAATGGCATCTTCTGTCCGTGAGGTGCTTGCGTGAACATGCCAGCTCGTCGTGCTGATTGCTTTTATTGTGGGGAGACACGCCTGGATTACCCCGTTGAGCAACTCTTACGTGGCTACCGATTCGAGAGTACTCCGACCGCCAAGAGATGGCTGCCCAAATCTCACTGATGTTGCCTTGCCGGAAGAAGTGGTAGTTGCCGTGTCCGGAAGAAATGAAGCGGTAGCTGAAGGTCCAGACTTTTAATCCCGATGCAGTGGGAGATGCCAGACAATGGTTCGAGCAAGTTACAAGACTATGTATCTGTGCCCCGTGTGGTGAGACAGCGTCTGATGAAGTAGCGGTCTGTTGTCTAGCAGATAGTGCCAATTACCTGGGACATATGGATGTGGGGTCGAAAGACTGGTAAGAGGGGCCGGGCGTCTCTTTGTACTAAGGGAAACGCAACAACTGATCATCACTGACATGTCATGGGGCGCTTGGTGAGACGTATTATGAATAACACCTGGCATTTGCTGCGCATACCTTACCATGGACGCGTGGCTTACCATGATGCTGAGCTTACTAAGTACAAACGATTGGCGGATAGAGCGCATGTTCTTCGAAGCACCTTGCAATCATTGCACAATAGTAAAGGCCGTGACATAATTCATCTGACTTTGATCGAGTCGCTGCCTGAAGGATGCTTGAATTGGCTTAGAGCACATCTGTCGCTTTTGTAAACTAAATCCGCGTAGGTGTGAGGAAGAAGAATGGTCTTGCATTGAAGAACATGCGATAGCGAGCGGTAGAGAGTTTTATGAACTTAATGCGTTCTTTGCACGTCGCAGTCAGACGAATTGATCGTGTGCGCTCGCTGTATGATACCTAAGTACAGTCCAGCTCCGAAGCTTCGCTAAATGCTTCCACAATTAGCTCATAATAAATTGGCACACCGGACAAGTATAAGTTGAACTTCGAAGCACCTCTTCTAATTCGACACCCTTCGCCTCATACAAAACGAGGATTCCAGTACAAATACTAGAGCTGGATTCGAGGAAGAGATTGCATCCCTGAACAGCATTGTCTAATGCAGCAAAGTGGCTCATATGGCTTTGTGTAGGGTTCGGATTGATATGTTGAGACCATTACAGGCTGGAATAGGCGTGAATACTCACGATTTGAGTCCAACGTACGCCCAGCGTGACGGGATGAGGAGCGGGGATCTCGCCAGTAAGACGTGAGATCATGCGAGATGCCAGCGATATCACCTGTTCAATAGTGGGATAGTGATACGTCCAAACAACAAGCGACTTGATAGTGTCGAAGTACGAAATGAGCTTCAGCGATGCTGGCGGCTCGTCGCGACGCGGGAGAGGCTGCGTCGGAGTTAGGCCTTTTCGAGATTAGCACGTCGATCTCCCGTAGAGCCTCAAAGCTTCGGCAACCTGTCACCATACCTGCAGACGATGATCACGGTATAAACAGCATCGCAAATAGAAATTGTCCTTGTTGTATCGACTTGCCAGCTTGACAGCGATATTACCGTACGAGGTGCAAGCGCTCTTTCTGCATGCCTGAGACTGGCCATCATTGCGCTTGTCGCGCGCGGAGGATGCCGGGTGAGGCAGGCATGTGGCTGGTGCAGCCGAGCCACAGCAGTCATGACTCAGCGCGGGCACCCTAGCTCTCCTTCCGCGTACGTGTAAGCTGCGACTTGCGCCCAATCCAACACCACAGAACGTTCTCACTCTTGCCGGACGTTAAGGTGACACCTCGCTTGCGTCATTCGTTCCGGCTTCATATGCCTTCCCGATTAGGGGGCACGCGCTGAGCTACCCCCCACAAGTCGTCCAGCCGACACCTGCAGCGCTCGCGCATCGCCTTCAGTAACGCGAAACCCCCCGCCGACCCTCCTTGGCAGCTTCAACCGACCCGAGAGCTGTGCGCGCTATGTCAAGTCTCGCTCGTCATCTCGGCGCAAGCTCCATGATGCCTGCACCATTCATAGAGTGGTCGCTCAAGCGCCTGACTGATGCGTTGCAGTGGTCTCCCTGTCATCAGCACAGCCAGCACTTCCAAGCAAGGCACCGTCTGACCGTTCAGTACGCGCGCATTCGATGTCGACGAACGAACGCCATTCACACACAAATCTCCGCTGGGATATCGCACACCCTAGGCTTATGGGGAACACCTCGCGCGCAACGCCTTGTGCGCACCTTCCACGAACCTAAGGCAGTGCGATGAGCTGGAAATATTCACAGCTACACATGAGCGCAAGGAACGGCACAATGCAGGCGTCTCATACGGTCTCAAGGCCTACACACCTCCGCTGGTCGCTTGCTTTGCCGCGCACCTCGTCAAACTCTTCCACGATAAGCGCATGACCGCGAGACATCCATACATCGATGCGGCGTGAGGGAGGCAATGTGAGCGGATACAAAAGGAGGCGGATTTTCAAAATCGAGTGCGGCGAGCGCGGAGGGGTGGTCTGATCAGCATCAGCTAGGCACCAGCTATTGCTGCAAAACTACCGGTTCTCGCGACACACCCGCGGTCATAGCACGGATGCCTCCCCAGTGGCCGCCTCTCGCACCTTTCACCAGCACCGTCCGCGCCTCGCCCAAGAGTCTGCTCCCTCCAACCATCGATACGTGGTCCGCGCCTCCCGCATTTGCCGAGCCGAACACTTGAAACGTACAAGAGGGTCACGTCGGCGCGGAGCTTCCTACGTGGGGCCACGAGGTTGATCGGTAGCGTATTCGCCTTTCTCTGCGAAATGAATGGATGGTCTGGCATTACAAGCTACTGATAGCCCACTGGCCAATTGACATACCGCTCAGTCAGACAATGCGATGGTTCCTTCGGCTACAACGCGACCGCCAGCAGCACAACGAGCCCATGAGGCGCACCCCTCTCGCCCATTCGACA